CTCATAATTCTGAATTTTTTTCTCTCAGAATTATGACTTTTTTTCTCAGAATTATGACTTTTTTCTCATAATTCTGAATTTTTTTCTCTCAGAATTATGACTTTTTTTCTCAGAATTATGACTTTTTTCTCATAATTCTGAATTTTTTCTCAGAATTCTGACTTTAATCTAAGAATTATGACTTTTTTCTCAGAATTTCTGACTAAATCTCCAAATTCTGACTTTTTTCTCAGAATTCCGACTTTAATCTTAGAATACTGACTTGTTTTATTTTTTCAGTGGCCCTAATCCTCTTCTGTATTATTGTGTAATTAGGAGTAAGAAATAAAACAAATCCCAAATCCTTAATGTTTTATTGGTGTGTTTTATATTGTTGCTATTGTTCTGTGTGATACTTGTGATTATATTTCAATGCAACTTGAGAGTGACTGCAATGATTTGGTTCTGCTTCACAATATTAGCAAAGTTCCTCTTAAATGGTTAAAAAAAAGGTCAATATATTATTATTGACACTGGCCTTATCAGGATCATATCTGCTTCACATCATAAGGAGAAAATATCTTAAAAGAATTACAATATGTATCACATATAATAATATGTGTTTTAAAGCATATTTATATATAAAGCTATTGTAATAAAATATCTTATAATAAAGTGTAATTAAGTAGATCTTGCACCCTTTGTCTTTCACAATTTTTGCTTCCAATCAACTCTCTGTAAGATTTAATAAGGTACACTGTTAACAGCAAGTGTCTTCTCCTCCTTGCAAGGCATCAAATAAATATACAGCCATGCACACACACACACACACATATACACAATCACGTTTCTTTATCCATGTGGGGATTTTTCCATTGACTTTCATTCATTTCTAACCCATTTCTACAGCCTGACCGCAACACTTACCCTAAACCTAACCATTATGAGTTACCTAACCCTACCCCCAAATTAAATTCACTTCACACTTTAATCCTTAACCTAACATCTAAAACCTTATAACAGCATTTGTACTCATGGGGGCCAGGCATTGGTCCCTACAAGAGCAGTTGTTCCCCACATTGGGCTATGATTTATGAAAAATATTCCCAACAATGTAAGAAATACACTAACCCCACAAAAAGGGGGAGTGGTGGCCTAGTGGTTAGGGAATAGGGCTTGGAATCCTGAGGTTGTGAGTTTGAAAGCCACTCCCACAGCCTGCACTCTGGGTCCCTCAGCAAGACCCTTAACCCCACACTGCTCCCCAGGCGCTGCACAATGAAAGCCAGCTGCTCCCCAAGGAGATGTGTTAAATGCAGAAAGTGAGTTTTGTTGCGCTGTACTTGTGACAGTGTAATGACAATGAAATGCTGGAAAAAAACAAATCAAAAAACAAAACAAAAACACACACATGTTAGCGATGCTAATTGAACTGAGAGTCATGTTGTCGCAACAATCAGAGAGAATCCGCACATGTATGGGGAGAAGATGCAAACTCCGTGCAGAAAGGCCCCAGGTTGAGAATTAACCAACGACCTCCTGCAAGAGTAACAGTGCTGAATGTAGGTTCTGAACTTAAAGCTTAAACTCTTTTTCATGAGCAGTAACCCTCTTCTTTTAATTGCTTGGCACAAGCGCCCTTGATTTATTTCCAGACAGACACCAAAGGGTTTGGAGCTGGAGGAGGAGATATGGAGTATGGGTCATCTACCTTACCTCTGCCCACAGTGACTCTGTAACTGTTTTAATTGTCTCTTGGAAGACATTTTATATGATTGCATTTTACACATTGCAGATGTCCAATAATGTTTGCATGTTGTTTTTAAACTTTTTAAGACCCCCGTTGTAGATCTGTTCCTGCATTTTGAATAGCTGTTCTGTGATTTATCCAGTTTTTAGCTGAGCTTCAGCTGATTGACCGATGCTCTCACTCTGACTCTAAAATACTTTGTCTTACAGAAAGGACAAAACTTTTGTCTTTTGATTTTCTTTTGCCGTATTTTATCTTTTTTTTATATCAAACATCCATATTGCTTATTGAATAAAGATCATATGTTTGTATACCATATCTCTAACACAATTTATTTAATCAAATAACACTATATGATAAAATTAAAGATTTATAAATGTTTACATTTTTATAGCAATGATAACAACAAACTAATTGGAGAGAATATATCCTGCATGATTTGACTTGCATCTGAATAAACCAAATGATTTTAGGCACACTATGTTTGGAGAAAACCATTCAACTGTTATGATTGGCTTATAGGACTAAACCCACATGCAGAACACATCTGGAGACGGAGTAAAAGTTTAACAACATTATTTATTGGGGAAAACACACAGAGAAAAATGGACTGGTTCTGGTACAGGTCCGGGACTTGGATCACTGATATCTGGAGAAATGGAGAGTTTGATTAGCCAGGCAGTTAGATGGTTTGACGAGTGAGTAATTTCTGAATGTACCTTGACGAGGTTCTTACAGATCCTTGAGATGGGGAACCTGTTGGGTCCAGAGAATGTGGAAGTAGCAGAGAACTCAGCAGCAGCAGCAGCGTCTAGCTTCTGGCTAGAGAGTCTCAGACTTGGGTTTAGTTTTCCTAGCTCTTCCCTGAGAGCTGAAGGAGGAATCCAGACTGAGATCTTCAGGTTTAGCTTCCTAGCTCTCCCCTGAGAGATGAAGGAGGAATCCAGACTGAGATCTTCAGGTTTAGCTTCCTTGGGCAGGCAGGCAGGTTTCCAGGTAAAGCTCACCCAGAGCTTCAGACTTCAATCAGGCTTTCTGTGAGTAAAGAAGACAGAGGCAGGTTAGAATCCAGTTCCTCTCTAGAGTCTACTGTGATTCACTATATTAACAGAGGCTTAGGTTTGCTAACCAAACTTGGTCAACACTGCGGCGTCGAAGGAAGGTCTGACTGCTGCTTATGTAGGAAGGTCTCCTGATGGGTTGATGAGCTTCAGGTGTGCTAGAGGCTCCAGCCCAGGAGACCCACAGCGCTCTCTGCTGGAGACCGATGGTAGATCTCCAGATCCCAACAGTAACCCCAGTTCCTGACAGAAAACATATAACAGAAGAGGATCCTCGGCGCCCTCTGGTGGGCAAGCCTCAGGATCCCAACATCAACTCATACCAGCTGTCAAGCACAGAGATGTAAAGGTGATAATTTGTGATATTTTCTGCAGCCACAAGTGGAATCCTGGGAGTCCTTTAGTCATTGCGTTAACCCTAAAGTCCTCTGTGTAATGAGCGTGGTCAGGTCAATTGTTCTGATACATATGTTAGAAAGCATAGTTCCAGTAATACACAATTACTAAAAATCTTGACGATCAGGTAAATTAAGAATACTATATACTAAAAGACATATCTTGTTGTTAAAGAGAAGGTTTAGTTTTGCGTAATGAATATATATCTGAAATCTTGTATATAGAGAATTCTTTTAATATCTACAAGTATACATATATATACAATGTATGATAGACTTATAAGTAATGCATATAATGCATTGTTTACATATCTTGTAGTGCAAATTGAATGTTTACTGTTAAGTATGACTATAAAACATGTTTATTTGATATATATTGATACATAGAGAATGTCGATTATTAGTGTTGTTAGTGATTATTAACATTTTTTAACATTTTGTAATGCATTTGTTTATGCGATTGTCATACTCTGTATAATGGGAGAGGTGTGTTGGGTTGGAGATAGTGTGTTTGGTGGCTGTCTTTGTCTTTGCTTTTGTCTCTGTCTTTCTTTGCTTTGTGCTTTGGGCATTGTTTACACATCCTGTATTGTTGTGCCTGAGGGGCTGGGACTTGGATAAGCGGTGCTTTTTCCATCCCATTTTCAGCTTTCAAGGAGGTATAAGGATTTAATTTATTTGTTTGGTTGTTATGAATGTGAGTTGAGTTTTACCACAAGCCCTTTTCCTTTATTTCATGCAAGTCTGAAATTCATATATAAATTAAAAAATAAAGAAATATTATTCTCATTCTCAATAAACAAATATTAGAATTTTAGACCTATGAACTGTGTTAAAATACATGCATTTATTGTAGGCTGCTGATGGTTTGCCCAAATCAGTGAGAGTCAGTGAGTCAGAGTCAAGTAAACAAACATGTGTCTGGTGGCTGAAACACAACGGAGGATCTTTAATGAAAGGGCTGAAAAATGGAATTTAATTAAAAAAAAGAATTCTAGATTGGAACCTTCAGAGAGATGTAAGGAAACCTATTTCTGCAAACCTCAGTCATTTTATATGATATATTAAAAAATATGCCATACAGTTTCTACATTTGAAAAACACAGAGTGTGATTCATGTGTTTCATAATTTTTGTACTCCAACTTTTTCTCCTGCTGACGTGTCCTAATGACGCTGACGGAGGTGAAGGTGTGAGAGAAAATATATTTTTACCAAGAATGAGGAGGGTGGT